ATACTTTCCATTGAAAAGGTTTGATCATCAATAAACATATTTTTCTTTGTTTCATCTGATCAGTTACTTTTATTTTTAATATTTTATTATTTGTTAACAATTAAGTAAATAATAGTTTTTTTATAGCATTTACTTTTTTTTTTTTTTTTTTTTTTTTTTTTTTTTTTTTTTTTTTTTTTTTGTCGTGTTGTGTTGTTGGGTTTTCTTTTGTTTTTTTTTTTTTTTATTTTTTTGATGAGTAAATGACCTCATTAGAGACAAAGAAGTTTGAATGTTTTGGATGCAATATTCTTCATGTAAAAATATTTTCACCACATAAATTTAAACATTCTTTTCAATGTACAGTTGCGTTATTGTAAACGAATCGTTGAACTTATTCTTTGTTTCAATTAACGATAAAGAAATAAACAAAACATGAGTTAATCTGGCGTGATTTGTACCATTAAAAAATTCCTGAAGTGAAGGCCTTTTCAGTTATTTCAAGTGATAAAAAGGGTCAATTTCTCTTTCGCAACAGACAATTCAAATCAACTGTTGACATCTTTCAAACTTATTTAAAATAATACTATTTTTTTTTTTAAAAAAAAAAAAATCAAATTTCGATTATTCAATGGCTCAAAATAGTAATTTAACTCCTGAGGATGTCTTAAAAATTCAGATTACACCAATATGTAATCAAATGAATATTGAAGAGGAAGATATTAGGAGAATTTCTTCGCATATTTTAAGAAATTTGACTCCTTCACAACGTGATATCCTTATTGACTTGACCAATAGGATCAATTCTTATAGAATTGAATCTCAGAGACTAGATGATGACAATCTGGAGAATGTAATTTATCGAGGATGTGAATTCTCAAACTTGATAGATTTGGTAAACTCTTTTGTTGCTGAACAATCGCAAGTTGATCGGGAAAATGAAATGTATTTTGGGTATAATTTTCCATAATTTTTAATAATAAAATAGTATATATATATATATATTTGTCAGAAAATAATTGCAATAAACCTGTCTAAAGCCATTTGTTTTGGATGGATGGATGGAATATGGTAATTTAGATGAGATGGGATTTAAAAATACTATCAAGAGGGATTTTAGATTAATTATGAGACATTAAATACAATTATTGATAGGATATTGATATAAATTTAATTATGATAATAACTTTAGGTTTATGACTTTAGATTAATTATGATTATAATTTGTAATTTAGAACTATAGGCCGTATCATCACTTCTGATACATCACATTTTTTAAAATAAATTAAAAAGTTTATTAATAATTTTAAATCTAATAATTGTTATTTTAAACTATACTTTTAGGATTATATATACTATAATATTAAGGTTTAA